TATTTATTACTTTTCCTTTCTGCTGCAATTAAAAAGGTTTTGAAACAAAGGAAAAGAGGAGAGGTAGTTAATGAAGGGGCAAGCAGGGTAGAAAGGCTGTTCCAGGTAAGGTGACACGTCTGCTTGATGGAAGGAGCCAGTGATGAGGGTGACGTGGAGCTTTCAGTTCCCTGAGAATGAATGCTGTGTTGATAAGGACTGGAACAGGATGGAGGAAGTACCCTTGCAAAGCAAGAGGAGCACACCTCTGCCATTAGCAAGAAGGCTAGAGGTCAGAGCTATGTGGAGAGAGAGGAAGGGAATCTGGCCTGTGCTTAACTGACGTGAGAGCCAGATTTTGAACTCTAGTGGCTTCATTTACCACTCACGTCATCTTGGGCCAACTGAGGTCACTTTTCTAAGCCTCTGCTTCACTGGGATGTTGTAAGGCTTAAATGAGAAGCGCAGAGCCTGGCCCATGGAGATGTTTTTAGTACTGATGGGGAGCTGCACACCTGGTGACCCCTATTTCACTCATGGACTAAGTAATCTGGGTGGGTGTGGTGCTTGAAAGCATAGGCTTTGGGGATAAGAGACACCCAGGGTAGAGTTCTTGCCCCGCCATCTATCAGCTGTGAGACCTTGGGCAAGTGCCCTAGTTTCTCTAAACCTTGGTTTCTCCTGTGTAAAATTAGGATACTAGGACCTATTAAATGTAGAACCAGGAGGATTAAATGAGATAATTTGTGTGAAACACTCATCATGGTACCTGGTACACAGTAAGCACTCCATGGAGGTAAAGGGTAGGGGCCTGCAAATGTTGACTGAGAATGCATGGAACAACTGCTGAGCAGCAGGAGGGCCCAGCTGGGGCTAGAGGTTTAAGCTAAAGGAACAAAGAACTAATTTTGAGAAACTCCTGCTGCATCAGTCAGCAGTTGGGAACATTGAGTCCCTTCAGCTCCATGTGACATCCAAACCATGGGTAGGTATGGAGGCTTGTCAGGTGATGAGGACTTGGACAGCTTGGTTTCTGATGCATATCAGTCCTGCGGGTATCTTCTGGGGGGAAGGGCTTTCTTGACCATCTTGTAGTGTGACCATTCTGCCTGCCAGCTTTGGCCTCAGGCACGTGGTGCCCCTGCCTCATGCATTACTGTGCCCACAGGACCGGGGCTTCTGTGTGGAGGTGAACACGGCCTTTGAGGACTTCGCCCACGTCATAAGCTTTGACAAGAGGGCTGCCGCGCTGGACGCAGGCAACATCAAGCTGACCTTCAATAGTGTGAGGGGCTGGGCAGGGCATGGGACTCAGGTCTCTAATTTATCCCAGTGTCCTTTTCCATTCCTTCTCACTTACTGACTGTATTCCCAATTCAGGGGATGGTGGTAGAAGCCCAGACCCCAGCTTTCCACCTCCTCTAACATATGCCTGAGTGGGACCCAGCATCCACCCTCCTGGGTGACCCTGCTCCATGTGTCCCTTCTATCTTCAGCTGCTGGAGAAAGCAGAGGCGCGGGAGAGGGAGCGGGAGAAGGAGGAGGCACGCAGGATGCGGCGCAGGGAAGCTGCCTTTCGAAGCATGCTGAGGCAGGCTGTGCCTGCTCTGGAGCTAGGCACTGCCTGGGAAGAGGTCAGGAGCATAGCCTGGCCCCAAACACCCTCAAGCCTGAGGGCAGCGGTGCTTCACCACTGAGGGCCCACCCCAGTCACGTCACAGCCCTGGGCCAGCTCCAGTTCCCTTCCTTTCTCTGCCCCAGCCCTGCCCTGTGCTCATGGCGGTGTCCAGGCCAGGCTGAGTAGGGCCTAATCTGATCGGCAGTGCTCTCCTCGTTCAAGGTCCGTGAGCGTTTTGTGTGTGACTCAGCCTTTGAGCAGATCACCCTGGAGTCGGAGAGGATCCGGCTCTTCCGGGAGTTCCTACAGGTGCTGGAGGTGAGGCAGGCTGCTTGTTCTCTAGATCTGTCCCTGGCCCTTGAACTCCCTAGACCAGTTCAACAGAGACCTCAGTGGCCTCCCTCTTACCCCTAGGGCACTCCTGGCCAAGCAAAGGAAGGGGAGGCCTGAAGGATCCCTGGGATAGGCAGAAGGCTCTAGTCTAAGGGAGGCAAAGCCAGATTTTAGGAGGTAGAGTCCTTCCTGGGACTAAGTTTGATGTTGTCCTCACCCTTCTTCCTCTGCCTCTAGCAGACTGAATGCCAGCACCTCCACACCAAAGGCCGAAAGCACGGCAGGAAAGGCAAGAAGCACCATCACAAGCGTTCCCACTCACCCTCGGTGAGTTAGCTGAAAGAAGGGACGTGGGGTGAAGCTGGGTTGTTTCGGGGAAATAAACACTTCTTGTTTTCCCCCTATATTATCTCCCTTGGAGGGAAATTTGAGGATTCCTTTGGTCCTGGACCCTGCTGTCCCCCCAGTTCCTAGCCAGCTTCTAGAGGGCAGAGAACCTCTGCACTGACACATATCTGCTGATCTGCCCAGGGCTCTGAGTCGGAAGAAGAGGAGCTGCCCCCACCATCTCTCCGGCCACCCAAGCGGAGAAGGCGGAACCCCTCAGAGTCAGGCTCTGAGCCCTCTTCTTCACTTGATTCAGTTGAAAGTGGGGGTGCTGCCCTTGGAGGACGGGGCTCCCCTTCCTCCCACCTTCTTGGAGCAGGTAAGCAGTTGCTATGAGCCTAGAAGCTGGAGAACTGTTGTCCCAGACTGAGGATGTCCTGCCCCTGCAAGCCACTCCCTGCTCCCTACTGGAGCAAGCTCCAGCTCCTTTGAGGGTAGAGTGGATTGGGAGGGCTGCACCTGTGGGAGGAGAAAGACCTTCCTCTACCTGCCCAGGCAAGAACCTGAAGGAAAACTGGACCAACTTAAGACTTCCTCAGAGCACGAGGTCCCTGCCTGTGAAGAATGAACAGAGGGGCTAGAGCAGAGAAAAAGAGCCTGCCTTTGTCCTCTTGGGACTTAGTAGGAATTTTTTATCTCCAGATCATGGCCTTCGGAAAGCCAAGAAACCAAAAAAGAAAACTAAGAAGAGAAGGCACAAGTCGGTGAGTGAAGGAACTTCTATTTAAGCCCCTGCTATTTTGTGAGCTCTGTTCTACTGCCTCCTGGGCTATCCACAGGAACTGAGGGTGGTGGGCTCTGGACTCTTACAGAATAGTCCTGAGAGTGAGACAGACCCCGAGGAGAAAGCTGGCAAGGAGAGCGATGAGAAAGAACAAGAACAGGACAAGGACAGGGAGCTCCGGCAGGCAGAGCTCCCTAACCGTTCCCCAGGCTTTGGAATCAAGAAGGAGAAGGTGAGGGGCAGAGACCCCAGGCCAGAGTAAGCATGCTGGCCGAGCTCCCAAGGCTCTCAGTAGAGCTAAGGGTGAGTGGTGCCTTTGCTCCAACAGACAGGCTGGGACACGTCGGAAAGTGAGCTGAGTGAGGGTGAGCTGGAGAGGCGGCGGCGGACACTCCTACAGCAGCTTGATGATCACCAGTGACCCAATGAGCTGCTCTCTGCCTCGGGTCTGTGTGAGGCTGTGGCTCCTGGGCCACCCTCACCATCTGCCTCAGACTTCTTCCTTAGTCTGGTCTGTGTCCACTTTTTCTAAAGTAACCCCACCCCCAGCACACGACCGTTGGCACCTCTCAAGGTTGCTTTTGGTGTTCAAGGGTCCCCTACTCCCCGGACTAGTGCAGTCCTTGCCCTCAGCCCCAGACCAGAGATGGGTGGTATATGCCATGTGGGGTGGGTGATGCCAGTAGATAAAGTGTGAGAGAAGGGGTCTCCAGGAAAGAGTGACAGGCTGGTGGACACAGCCTGAGTGGCAGAGGGCAGGGTCTTCACCCTCTAGCATCAATGCCTGCTCCTGCCTGTCCTGAGGCTCTACCACTTCTTCCTCCACCCAGGACCTAATGTATGTGTGTTTTGTTTTTGTTTTTTAAATAACAATATTTATAACATGGCCAGTGACTCTTCTCCATGTGCTGCTAGGGCAGGCTGGGGACTGGTCACATGCCCAGCAGAGGGCACTAGTGTCTCATGGCAGGCCTGCTTCCCTTTGTGTGGCTAGAGCCCATCAGGCTGGTTCTCCTTTCCCCAGATTTCTGACCTCATCTCCTCTGAAATAGATGTAGTGCCCCAAAGATTTCATTTCTTTCCCCATGGCCCAGGTCAGGCTAAATGGCCACCCTAGCCCTGTAAGCTAAGCAAGAGGAGACAGACTCAGGCCTGGTGCTTCAAGCCTTTGTTGAGGGGAGGGAAAGTCTGGGGTTTATGTACAAGAGGAAAGGGAGGTTGAACATGTACAAAAAAAATGGGCCCCCACATTCCCTTCTAGAGGCAGAGGAGAAACAGGAAGCAGAGCAAATAGCTAAGACCACCATGCTCCCTGTCCCCTGCCAAAAAAAAAAAAACGTAGCTGAAGAAAGAAGGTAAAGGGTTGGCATACCCCTTCTCCCAGCCATCTGCAGAAAGGGATTGGTGCAAAGAAAACCTCTGTTCTTCTGCCCACCTTGACAAGGAAAAGTGTGAGCCTAGAATGAAATGGGCAGAAAAATAAGGGCAGTGAGCCTGACATCTCTCTTCTTACTCTTATCACTAGGGCACAGCTGGCAGAGGGCCTTGCTCCTGGTAAGAGATGAACTGAGACTGACAAGAGTCCCAGGGCTCTGTAAGCCTAGATACATCTAGACCAGAGCCGCCCATGGGCCTGCAAAAAAGAAAGGGGGAAAAAAAGACAGTTGTTCTCTCCTGTCAGCACTCTTGGCTTTAGTGGAAGAGAGATCTACGTGCCCTGTATAGGCTAAAGCTGGAAGTGGTATTTCTCAGCCCTGGGCTGACCCTTGGTGACCCTTCAGGAAATGAAGTCAAAGATCTTGGGAGCAAAGTGCAGTACTGGAGGCACCAGAGACCTACAGACCTAGTGCCCATAGTGGCACAAGTAGAAAGATCCAGCCTCAGGAGCTGGGGTGGACAGGGTTGAGAGCGGCATAGTCCTCTCCTGGGCCCTTGGCCAATTCCAGGTCCACTGGTTGGATTTGTAGGACTCTAAACGCTGAAGTGCTTCTGCCTCCAAGAGGGTCTCAGTGGGGGCCTGGAGCCCGAGGGGGGCCACTGGGCAGCGCAGCACTCCTGGCTTGGTGGCGAACAACAATAGGCTGGCAGTGGAGGCCTGTGGGGGAAGACAGAGACCTGTGAACAGGAAGGGAGGCTAAGCCAGGACAGTGCCCTGAAGGGCAGCCTCACAGATAAACCTCCACATGGGAGGAGCCAACGGTGAGGCAGATAAAGGGGAGGCGTGAGGGGTAGTTGGGGAGATTGCTGGGCTTTGCATTTCAGAGGATCAGGTCAGGGTGATTGGAGGCCACTGGGCAGTAGAGAGTAGACATTCAGAAAGAGCCAGAAGCTAGGAAAAGATCCCAGGCTGACTGGATGTCAGGAAACAGATCAAGGGACATCTGATAGCTCCTGGTCAGAAGCTACTGCCAGAGCTCTTAAGAGAACCCTAGGGAAAGGTTCCTTAGGCCCAGGAATGGACCCTCAACCTCAGCCTCAAAGATCAGAATTGTCGGCCTGGACCTGCCTGCCCTCAACACTGGCCTGGCGACTCCCTACCCATTGGGTCTTAGTAGAAGCCAGGACAGCATTAGTGGGAGAGAAACCACTTCTCTAAGGATACATGCAGGGGATATGCCATGCTTCTCAGAGCATGGGTCATGCAAGAAGTATGTGCTCCCATTATTGGGAGGCTGCCAGAGGGTGATTGCAAGTCATGCAGGAAAGCAGATGCCTGTGGTCTCCGGCAGGAATCCTGGGAGATGGGCATGCAGAAGGGGCAGCTGCTGTGCCCAGTACCTGTCAAGGGCCCCAGCCTTGGGGGCTAACAGTTTGACTCATCATGGTGGGCTGCATCACAGAAGAAGCGTGAGCCCCGCTTGGCAGTACGGGCCGTGAAAGGGACACTCTTCAGCACTATGGCCCAGGAGAGAGACACAGTGGTCAGGCCTCATGGTGGGGGGTGGGAGGAGAGCCCAAAGGGGCTAGGTTGAGCTTTGGGAGCTGGGTGCAATGGCCAGGCCCCAGGGAGTGAAAAGAGCCCCACCTGTGATGATGTCCTCGATGGTACCATCCTTTCCCTCATAAACAGGCCGGTGTTCCTTGGCCTGGCGCCGCCTCAACTCTGCTATTAACTCCTGCTGTTGCCACTTGTTCCTCTGGGATGGAGTCTAGGGTCAAGAATGTGGAGGGGGAAGGAAGTCATCACTAACCTAATGTGGGACTGGTTCCTGCCCCAAGGTGCAGTCTGAGAATGCCATTGCTTGTGCACTGCTAGGAATCCCCGAAGGCCCTCCCTCCATCCCTCTGGATGCCAGCCCACTGGCCCTCTGGGTGGTTTGTCCACTCCAAGTTCTCATCTCCTCTAGCCTTCTGACCTCTAGCCCCCACTCTTTTGGCTTGCCCTCCTCCAGGCCCCAGCTCTTGGTCCCACCCACCTTGGCATCCAGTTTCTTGGCTTCCTGAGCCAGCTGCTTCTCCCGCATTACCTCCTCCTGTTTCTTGCGGGCTTCATTCTCTTGCTCTGCTTCCTAAGAACAGTGGAAGATGGGTGGGTGGTGAGGCTCACAGGCTGTGAGGGGAGGGGCTGACACTGAAGTAGAGAATGGGTGGCAGTGGGACCTGCTAACTCCAGGTGGCCACCTCTGGAGGGGCACTTCCTGTCCCAAACAATGACAGGAAGGGCCTGGGCCCCCACCCTGCCCACCAGTTCACAGCTAAGAGGCCTGTCGCCAGCTTGCATCACTCCCTTCCCAGGACTCGGAGGAGGAGTAGGAAAAGGCCTATACTTTAAGCCTAGGCTTCTCTCCCACAACCAGTTTTCTCTCAACCAAACTTTTTTAAAAAGCTCTCTGCAGCTCACCTTGTAAGAACGAATGAATCGGACAAATACTGGGAAGAATACAGAAGGAGGTGTCGTCTTGGGACTCTCGCCAAAGTAGCGCACAACTGCATTGTAGGCCTCCTAGGGAAGGGTTGGGCAGAACGGGTCACCATGGCAGAAAGAAGCAGCCCAGCTCCTATACTCCCAACACCACGGGTGAGAGGCCTGCAGAAAGCAGAACTCAGGGCCAAAGGGAGGAAAAGCAACCAGCCAGGCCCCTGTGAGCTGGAGAGAACCCGGGGCTCCCAAAGCTCCCAGGAGTATGCGTCTGGCCATTCCCAAAGCACTCTCTCCCCCACATATAGCCAGCCAGCTGCTTGATTAAAAAACAGAACTAGGGCCACCTAGAGGGGGCTGGCATTTGACCCTGGTTGCTCCCACCCGCCTGTGCCCTGTGCTTGCCTCAGCTGTCTTGGCATCCCGCTGGAGCTTGTCTAGTTTGCCTTCATTGGTACAGAGGAAGTTCCGGAGGACGCTGTTGTCGTGGATGCTGCACTCCCGCCGAATCAGCTCCATGCCCCGGCCCAGCTCCTTCACGTCCAGCAGCACGTTCTCCAGGGACACTGTGGTCACCAAAAGCCTGGCTGAGGACTGCCTAGGGCCTGGCATGCCCACCTCCCAGCCAGAGCTACATTAAACTCGCCCTCCCCCTCAGCATGGGCTCACTCATGTTCACATACCTGTATGGACATAAAGAAGTGCACACCAACTAGCTGAGCCCTCACAGGGGGAGGGAATGGAATAGAAACTGATCTCAAGACCCCAAAGAACACAGTAGCAAAGGCAGGCAAGCCACAGAGACTGCTGGTCTCCAAAATGGGCAGGCCTGAGGCAGTTTCTAGTATTCATGGGTGCGGCATACATATAGAGGGCTTTATGATTTTTTCTGGGCACTTCACATTCATCATACACAAACACAAGATCTCTGGGGCCAGCTTGAGGGAGTTGGGAGTAAAGAGCCACCAGTCCCCTTCCTGTTCCTGCTCCCACTGCACCTAGCTGGGAAGGGCTGGGCTGGGCCAGGCCCGGCGCCTGGAGGAAGGCTCCCTTTGGAGTGGCCCCTGCTTATGGCTGCAGCGGAAAGCTTTGAAGTGGTCAGAAAGAAGATAACAAAAGCCAGAAACAAATGAAACAAGTGTTCCCTCTCCTCATAGCTTCCTGGGATTGTCCTGGGCTGGATGTGAAGGCAGGCCCACCCAGCCAGGCTCCCCTCACCTGCTGCAGCCTTCTCAACAAAGTGTAGCTCATGCCAGAAGTTAGCCAGGTCTGGGTATTTCTCCTTCACTGTCAAGGCGATGAAATGAAGCAGTGTCATCTTCCGGTCAGTGGACTTGGTATCCAACAGCTAAGAGGGGGTGAGGGCAGTGCATAAAAGCTAAGCACTCTGGCTCCACAACTGCTGCCCACTAGGCTTCCTGGCCCACACTGCCCTCACCATCTTACCAGATCGAGACTCTGGAGCTTGAAGCCATACACAGCTCCTCGCTTGCTGCTGTTCATGTAGTTCCCCAGTGCAAGTATGATCTGTTCAAAGGATGCGTGGGAGGCAGGTCAGGCTCGGGTCCTGAGTGCTCCTTCTTTCTCTCTGTATAGCCCCAGGCCTCTATCTAGGACCTGAGAACCCCCAGCACCCCCATTCACAACCTCTTCCCACCTCCAACATCTGCTTCAGCTTCTGTGAAGACTTGACGGAAGCGGACGCTGCAATGATGGCATTGAGTTGCTGTAGGGCAATATAAACACTGAAGTAACCCCAGGCTGAGATAGGGTAAAGATAGGGAGGGGTTAGAAGACTGGAAGGGCAGGGGAGGTGACTAGCAGATGGAAGGTGGAGGGACAGCTGTCCAGGACCATGAGTTGAATGAGGGCCATACCGGTGTGAGCATCTGCAAGTTGTCCTGGAAGTTCCCCAGGAAGGCCATGCCAGCCATTCGCTGGGTCAGCCGCTCCACCTTGCTGAAGAGCAGCATGAAGCGGTCCTCAGCCGCCAACTCCTCCAGGGGCTGCCGCTCACGCTCATACTGCCGCAGCAGCTTCACCTCAGCCTCTGTGGGCAGGAAGCGCATCAGGCACTCCACGAAGTCAACAGGTAGCGTCTGCAAGTCAAACCTGTGTAGGAGGGAGGGACCACCTCAGCTCTCACATCTCTCCACATTTTCCCTCATTCCGCTTATTCTCCAAGCTCCTAGGACTGGGCAGGGGACCCATTGCCTCAATTGTCATAGCACCAGCAATGATACTGGGGGAACATTCCATGTTACTGAACTGTTCCCAATAGATTGAGAGCTCCTTGGGTGAAGGTCTGGGCTGAATTGCCAGCACAGATGCAGTAAATTCTGGCCAAGCCAGTGGATGACTAGGGAGATGGGAAAGGAGTTCTATCAGATGCCTGGAATCTAGGGAAAGCCAGGCTCTTTGGTGGAGAACTGGGTTGCCAACTGATTAGGAACCAGGGCCAGGTCAGTGGGAGCCTCACGTGTGAATGGCCCTGCAGATCTCCTCAGCTGAGCGGCCAGCCTTGCGCAGGGTGATAGCCAGGTTCTTGGCACGATTGGCTTCCAACAGAGTCACCTTGCTGGCAGCTTTTTGTGCTGTCTTGTTCTTGGAGCAGATGAGGTCAAGGGCAGGGCCCTGTGCTTTTGTCTTGAATAATTCTTCAAACTTATCCAGATCCAGGTCCTGGCAGGAATAGATGAGCAGGGAAAATGCTGTAGCCTCATACTAGTGGAGGACCTCCTGACAGCCCAGCCAGCACTGGCCCAGAGCTCTGTCACTCTGGAATGTTTCACGAATACAAACACAAAGTGCTGACACAACTGGAAATATATATACACTCAAGAATGAAGGGTTTGTGAAGCTAAACCTGGCCTCACCCTGTCTGACGGCTTTTCTAAGACCAGATCTGCTCAAAAGGCAAACAGGTCCCCAGCGCTCAATCTTACCACTCTGGACCCCAGGTCCTATTACCTCCAAGATCTTCTCGTCATCAAGTTCGCTGAAGACAGTGCCACTGATCTGATTGGGTTTCAGTGCTGTCCAGTTGAAGACAGGCAGCCGGAACTTGGTCTTGATAGGTTTCTTAATTCGAATGGCTAATTTGGAAGGAGGATGAGTGACACAGGGGCCAAGGACACATACCCATGGTCCCACCAGCCCTGCCCAGAGCCCTAGGGACACTCACCTGACAGGCCCACTGTCAACACCACAGAGGGTGCAGCACCAGGGAGAGGTGGGGCTGGGGGACACTTGTCTGGGGGAAGAAGGAATGACACAGTGACTCAGAGGTCAAGAGACTCTTCATAGGCTGCCTCTCTCCTCTGCCAGCCCCACCTTCTCTGAGTTTTTACTCTCAGAGAAGGAGCCTACATTAAATCTGCTCAAGCTGCTCCCAGAAATCCTAACTCTAACAGTGCAGTTCTTGTTGGTCTCTGACCCAGTTTCCACGGCTATAGTCTAAGCCTCTCCTTGGCTGTCTTCAAAGGGATTCAGAACTGCATCTAAACAGATCCACATCTGCCCATGGGCATCCCTGTGCTGATAATTCGAGCTTCCCTCGGATTCCAGCTCTCCCTCACCCTGATTTTATAGCCTCCCAGTCCTCAGATGATGCCATTTTCCCAGCTTCTTCCTGAGGAAGACACCGCTGACTACGGTTTTGGTCCCCACAATGAGGCTGCCCCTGCTGGCTCCCAGGGGTCATGGTTACCTGGTAATGGGGGAGGTGGAGGGGGCAAGGGTGGAGCTGGTGGTGGAGGCAGAGGCAGGACCTCCTCGGGGGGTGGAGCTGGAGCCAGAAGGTCTAGGTCAGAGGGTGGCATGGCCTCACTCAACTCTGCAGGGCCTACTCTGGCCAGGGCCTCACTGCCCACAGACTCCAGGCCCCGGACACTTGGCTCCAAATGGCATCGACGCTGGAAGGCCTCCTCCTTCTCTTTAATGAGCCTCCGCAGGGTGTGCACCTGGTGGCTTGTGTTCTCGTATGTCTCCTGACAGGCAGACAGTACCATTAAGGGAAAAGTGGGCTGAAGGCATAGTAGTCATTGCCTCTAGGAGTGAGAATTCCTACCTAGGGTTCTCTTAACTAGGGTCTCTGTGAGGATTCTCAGAGGCTCAGAGTGGCAGAAATCCAGGTAGAGGAATGGGGAAGGTGGAAGGCAGTAAAACAAAAGAGGGAAGCAAAAGCTGCCTCCCTCCACTGGCACCCTGAAGTGTCCTCTCTGCTCCAGCCAATTCTCACTGCATGGGCCCCTTAAAGCCCAGGAAAAAAGGTTGTCCCTGTGAAACTCTCCTTAATCAACCACCAGTCTGACATAGCTGCTCTCTCCATAGCCCTTTGGGCCTCATTTTGCTTCAATTTCAGCTGGCCTTATATAATGGCTCAATTGGAAGCCCCCTATAAACAAGACCCTGTCTTAACCATCTGTGTATCCTCCATAGCTCCTAATATAAATGCTTAGCAGAGGCTGGGTATAGATACATATTGAGCTCAACAGAGCCAGCATATGTTCTTCTGGAAGAGAAGATAGGTTAGGGGCATGACTTTATAATGAAAATACAGAAGAGAATGAAATACAAGGAGCACCTGCTCTGCCAACTTAGGAAACCTGGTGGACACCCTAATACACAGAGCACCTGGTCACTCTGCCCCTGATCATTAAGCATGACTGGGGAGGAACACGAGGGCAGAGGGGAGAAAAATAAATGGGATGGGCTGGTAGGAGGCCTGGGTTGGAATTCCAGAATGCTCGTGGTTGTTCCAGCTGCTCCCAGCCTCTTATGTGTGTGTCTGGCTCACACTGGCTTCAGCTTTCCTCTCCAACTAAAAAAATGGGGTGCAATCATCAGCCCACCCACACCTGAGAACTTCAAGAGTGAATCAAGATCTAAATCCTAGAGAACCTGACATGACTCAGGGGAAAAAAAAGCAAAACCCCAAGGCCCTGGAGCCCAGGATTAGTCAGGGACTTCCTTCCCCAGAGTACTTTTTTACCTTGATGCTCTCTAGTTCCTTCTCCCGCTGCAGCAGCTGCTTCTCTAGCTCTGCCACCCGCATCATGTTCTCATTCTCTAGGTCCAGAAGCTTCTCTGTGAGCTGCACAACAGGAAGGACAGCTTCTGTGCTGGCCCTAAAGCCTGGGCACTCAGCATACCCTGAACCCTGGTCAAGAGCTGAGTCGAACCCCTCAACACAAGGCCTCAAAGGCAGCTTAGTCAGGTGGCTCCCTTATATCCCAATAACAGATACAAAACAAAGGCCGCATTTTGACTCTCTCAAGACCGATGCCACCTCATGCCTAGCCCTGGAGGTGGTGTGTGTTCCAACTGGTGGATGATCCAGTGGCTCAGGCCAGTGCATGGTCTTGAGAGCCCTGGTGGGTTCTAAAGCCTCCCTAGGACTCAATCTGGAGGCAAACGGGTCAGTTCAGGATTCCTGGTAACTTGAGCTTCCATCAAGAGTGGCTCTGGCAGGCAAAGGAAGACCACCTACATGGGACACATGCTCCTCCAACTCCTCCACCTTCTCCAGGGCTACATTCTTGGTCTCAGCATCCTCCAACAAACCCCCAACATCAAACACGTTGTCCAGGTATGCCTGAATCTGCACCTGCAGCTTCTCGCTCTCTGTGTGCCTTGACTTCTGGGGGAAGAGCAGAAAGTAGTAGTAATTGTAGGAGCAGGCAGATCATCAGGGGAACCTGAGAAAAACTTAGTCCTCATTCCCCTTCACCACCGTTTCCCAAAGAGTTTCTGCTGCAGGCCATGTCAGATTCTCGCCCCATGGAGGTGCCAGACTGGCAAGTTATCTGAAGAAGGTCCCGAGTCCCAGGTCACAGAAGACAGGCAGGGTCCCAGGAGCATCAAGGACTAGGCACTTAGAAAAATCATTTGTGATATGACTAAACTGATCCCAAAGCACCTCACCTTACAAGGACCCCAACTGGCTCACCTGCAGGAACTCCTCTAGCCCCAGCTTGGTAAACTCATACTGCAGGTGGACCCGGAAGTTCATGTCCTCCACTGAGTGCACCACGATGTTGATGAACTGCATGCAGGCCACCTGGAGAAGCAGCAGCCCAGCGAAGCAGCAACAGGAAGGCAGAGGAGAGCCAAGAGACCAGGAGGATAATGGCTGTTAGAATATCATCATCATGTGGATAATTACAGGAAAGAGTTAAGTCTTTATGGGAGCAATAAGAGTATTTTAATTTTAAAATGTCATTTAATATTCAGTGGATAAAGACAAGAAAATTACATGAAAAACAGATGTAAGTGAAGATAAAGCTCCATGATTTCCCTTGTATATCAGCAGGTATTCCTTGAGACAACCTTATCTAGCTGAAGATCCTGCCCTGGGGGGAAGAGAAGCTAGAGGAAGAGCTTAGGAAAGGAAAGGCAGCTCAAAAAGGATCCAATTCAAGGACAAAAAGGCCACAGAGAAGAGGAAAAGGAGGTAGATCTGATATATACAAATGATGTCCTGAAGTTTCTAGGAGCTCTCTGGGGTGGGCAGGTGGACAAGAAGCATTTGCTGAATAGAAAGAATCATTCTGGGCTCTACATGGAATATCAAGATATACTGCTGGCCTGACCCCTGTTCTCAAGGAACACACAGCCCTGATGGATATGGGCCAGTCCCAGGCCCAGTGACTCACCATGAAGTCGATGTTGCTGTCCTCGTTCCGGAAATATTCCATCAGCTTCTCAAAGCGGTGCAACTCCTTGCATACCTGAATAAGCAAGCTTTCTCAGTGAAAGGATCTGCTCCATGCAGAACCCAAGCCCCTGTGCTCTGGCTCCCAGGAACATCATGGCAAAGACTGGTTCAGACCAAACTTAACCACAACTCTATATATTTAATGGGCCATTCTGGACACTATAAATAAAACGCAGCCAGGTGCAGTGGCTCATGCCTATAATCCCAGCACTTTGGGAGGCCGAGACAGGCAGATCATCTGAGGTTAGGAGTTCAAGAACAGCCTGGCCAACATGGTGAAACCCCATCTCTACTAAAAATACAAAAATCAGTCGGTGTGGTGGTACATGCCTATAGTCCCAGCCACTCAGGATGCAGAGGCAGGAGAATCACTTGATCCGGGGAGGTGGAGGTTGCAGTGGGCTGAGATTGTGCCACTGCACTCCAGCCTGAGCCATAGAGTGAGACTCCATCTCAAAAAAGAAAAAAAAAAGAAAACTTGGACCTGCAATCTAGCTCTGGGTCTGTGGTCCCCCACCAAATTGCTGAGGGAATTCAGTAATGCCTGTGCCCTTAAACTGGGCTTTAGGTGCCTCTGGGGATCGGCCAGGAAGAAACACAGAATTCTGATGCTGACAAGTTATTAACAGAAGGAGGGAAAGGAGGAGGAAGGGAGGAAGGCCATGGGTGAGACAGGAGGCTGCGGTACTAGTGGGGATGCAGGGGAGGGGCCAGTGTACAGGAAAGCCCTCTCCTAGAGGGGTCTAGAGGCTCCTCTGAGCCTCTGGGCTTCAAGGAGGAAGAGCCATTTCCTGGCTTGAACAATGGATGCTAGGGAAGAGGTCCAAAGAAGAGGAAGGGGTGAGACCAGCAGCTTTTCTGGATGTCGAGGAATCCTATGTTCAAGTAGATAGGGGTTTCAGAGGCAGGCCCAGGGGCTGGGGAAATTCCACATAGGAGTTCCTTCTCCCCTTACCAATAACAGCCAACGATCCAAGAGACACCCTTGCTTACCTTCTCCTCCCACTTCAAACACATGTGCTTTGGGTTCACTGCATCAGACTCCCATCTGGGGAGTCTCTTAAAGTACATATACTTAGGCCTCCAGTGGGTCTGAAGTAGGGCATAGGCATCTGTACTTTTAACAAGCTCCTTAGGTGATTTGGATGCAGGGCCCAACTAGGACCACTGGACTACAGCCCTCAGCTAGCTGAGGGTAACTTTAGCTGGCCAATCAGGAGGTTTCCTGGCACTAATATCAATAAGACTAAAGTTCTGGTTTTAAAAACCATGGGCGTTCAGGAGAGAAGATGCTTAGCCAAGCACTGGGATGTTAAAAATCACTGCAGATCACAGGAAATGGTGCTTACCCACCTGGCTCCCTGCCTTCTACCCCATACACACACACACACACACACACACAGCCAAAAGACTGACCTCTTTGAAATTGTCAAAGGCAGCAAGGATGATTTCTTGACCTCCTTGCGTGTGTACACACACACACACACACACATACACATACACACACGAAACCAAAAGACTGACCTCTTTGAAATTGTCAAAGGCAGCAAGGATGATTTCATGACCTCCTCGCACCAAACACACAGCTGCCAGAAGCTCTAAGACAAGGGCTTTGGTCCTAAGGGGTGAAGAAGGAAGATTAACACCCTAGCTCCCCATCCTGACCACCACACAGCTCACTTCCTTGACTGGGTAAGTCGTTTTGGAGAGTGGAGAAAGCCTCAGTGGTGAGGAGAGGGTGGGAGAAGGAGGACTTTCTCCCTTACTAAGCTGTGTAGACCAGAGGGGAGCCGGGATACTTCTCCTCCAGCAGAGGTGAGGGGGCCAAACCAAGACTCTGACAGGAGTCCAAGGCCAGGCAGGACTTGTCAGGAATACAAGGAGCACAGATCTCCAGATCCCTGGACAGAGGGGGGAGGAAGGGGGAGGGAAGGAACTCACCTTGGATTCTTGTTATTGAGGCTAAGTGCAATCTCATTGACAGCATGGGGGTGGGACATGACCAGGTTGAATCCATACTGCAAGGGAAAGGACAGAAGGTGGGTAACTTGATGGTGGGGAAGGGAGAGCAAAGCTGATCTCCTTGACTGCAGGCCCACCAGCAAACCTGTCTTTTATAAGCTGGTGCCCTCCTAGCTCTCCTGGTTTTGCAGATGAGGCAGAAGTAGAGCACCCATGGGTAGTGCTTCCCCCGTACCTGATAGTTCATGATGGCTCTGAGACAAAGGATACAGACGTGGACATCATCCTTCTGGCTCACTAGGCGGGAGTTCTTCAGGGCCTTGCGCCCAGGGAGAGTGCTATACCTGGGGAGATTGGCCAGGCAGTCAGGTGGGAGCTGAGGCTGCCGGTGAAGCATCTAGGGGCACTCACCATCACCCAGACAGCAGGCTGACCCTTAGCAATTGCAAAAAATGGGAATGAGCAGCCAAGAGGGACAGGGTGCAGGAGGCAGGGAGGTCAGACTGTTTTTACCTCCCTAGAGTAGGCCTTTGTCAGCAACTACTCAGGATCCCAGCTTTATAACCAGTGCCCAAACCCTAGAGATCCTTCAAAATACAAATAGTAGTTGTATAGGTCTTCCTAGTCCCTGAGATGGGTCCAGAGACACATTCATCTGAGAATTCCCTCCACCCACTTCCGATTGCTGTACCTTCTGCACAAACCATGGGACAAAAGCATCTTGGCTCCCATCCCAGAAAAGGCAGAGCTGATCCCCAAAGGCTTTAGAGGGGCCATGGGGCTATACCTGGTTTTGCACCTCTCCATCCTCTCAGTGATGTTTCATGGAAAAGGGAGGAGACATGTATCTGCTCATGCACGACAAGAATAATAAACAGTGTTCAAGGGATACAAGCCAAAGGAGACTAGGAGATAAGCATGGCCACAAGAGAGACAGAAAACCAAGGAAAGAAAACTGGACCCAAAGGAAAGCCTCCCAGAGTAACAAGGAGCACTGAGAAGTCATCCAGTCCATCCGCCTACCTCTGGGCAGGACGGCTCTTAAGACACTGCAGACAAATGAGCACGTTGCAGCCTTAGAGAGAAAAGGCTCAAAGGAAGAGGTGAAGGGAATGCGAGGGGCAGGCAGGTTGGGTGGAAGCTGGTCTCCAAGCTGATGATGGGGCAGAGTGAAGAGCTAGAGGGAAACAGAATGAGGAGCTGGATCACCCAGTGAAGGCTAAGGATCTGTATGAGATGTGCACTGCTCGAGAGGCCCAGGAGGAATGGCAGAGTGAGAGTGAGGAGTGAAGGGCCCCCCAGAGAGGGGTGGGGTGGGGTGGGGAGAGCTGGACCCCCAGGTGGGGTGGGTGCAGCTAAGACCATGTACTTACCCAGGACAGACTGCTGGGCAGAGTCAAGGAGACAGAGAGGACAGACCAGAGACAGACTGGCAGGCAGAGGGCAAGAGAGCTGAGCCTGGAAGCAAGAGTGGAGGGAGGAGCATGAGCACTCACCACTGAATCTGAGACCTGCATTGAGGGGTAGGGTGGGAGGCACGCGGGCAGAGCAAGAGCACACATACCGGAGCACAGACTGGCGCGCAGAGCGAGCGAGGCTGTTGGTGAAGGGGGCCGACAGGGCGCTGGGTGGCTGCAGGTCCTCGATTGACCTGCTCCAGGACCGGAGTTTGTCAAATGTACCATCGTCACCACTCTCCAGACCCTCAAAGTCAAACCTGGAGCATGAAAGGACACACATGCGCACACACAGGCACATACACAGGAGAAATTCAGTGCCAAGCCCCCCCGTGAGCCCACCCCCACCATTCAGGCCTCTAGGGCAACAAGAAGCAGAGGTAGCAAGGAAAGAAAGCAGAATTGGGCAGCGGAGACCTGATCCTAGCTGCCTAGGATCACTAATGCACTAACACAGGACTGCGGCAGAAGAGGCACAGGCAGCAACCAGGAGGGGAATCTAAGGAGATGGAAAGCTGATGGAGGCCAACTCCTCTTCTCCCCACTGGCCAGGTAACTCCAAGAGGAGTGTCCTCCCCATGGGCCACTGGGGAGCTGGCAGTCTTTCTGCACTTCCAGCTTAGATGGGGCATCTCCAGGAAGCTGTGGCTCCCCACAGAGAATCTGCCCTGTAGAAGGAATGGTGGGAATGGGCCAACTGCAGGTCTTGCTAGCTGGCCAATAGCAGCAACCAAAGGGTCTTTCAGTGCCTTGAAGGAGTCCAGTTGATTCTGCATGACAGGACTGAATGGAAGGGAAAGGGGGTTCTGGCAAACTCAGAGTGGGACAGTCCTTTATGTTTTTGGAGGAGCACCACTGCCCCATCTTAGCACTGGGTTTTAATGACCAGGTTCTCTATGGTTCTGGCTACTTGAGGTTTCTAGGTTTTTCAGGTATAGTGGCTCCCTGGGCTTCAGCTTCCCTGGGGTAAGAAATTGCAGGTTGAGACTGTGGACCAGGGTCCTGTAGTCTAGTCTTTGCAGGAGCTGAATGGGTTCTTTGTCACTTTCTGCTCCTGGAACCATGTCTTCCACCATCAGGAATTATTTTATTAAGAGACAGGGTCTCACTCTATGGCCCAGGTTACAGTGGCACAGTCATAGCTCACTGTAACCTCAAACTCCTAGGCTCAAGCAACCCTCCAGCCTCAGCCTCCCGAGTAGCTGGGACTACAGGTACATGCTGCCATGCCTGCCTAATTTTGGAAAATTTTCTTGTAGAGATGGAGTCTTGCTATGTTGACCAGGCTGGTCTTAAACTCCTGGGCTCAAGCAATCTCCCACCTTGGCCTCCCAAAGCTCTGGGATTACACGTGTGAGCCACTGTGTCCAGACAACCATCAGCTGTTTGTCAGTGTGGTTAGGATAAGGAAGACAGCCAAGATCACAAACCCATAGAGACTCCTCTCTTATACATCCTCACTTCAGGATACACCCCTCTGAGAAATGGTCCCTCTTTTCCTTCTTGTCCTTTTCCTCCATGTAGGTCATTAAAGACTAAGGGAGCATCTCTTGCAGGTTCTTCTTCCTCAAGAAGGATTCTGTCCAAATATGGGGTCAAAGGCACAGAGGCTAAAGCTTTCTGGAATAGGAAGGGATATCTACAGAAGTCAGAATGTTCCAAAGGAAGTGGGAGCAGGCTTTAGTGTCCTCCTGATCAGGAGGTATTTAATGGGGCTCTCAAATAGACATCACAGGAAACTCCCTGACAGGGAAACAGCTTGCTGGATCCATTGGTAACAACACTGTATCTTCTAGTACTGATATATGCAGTTTACAAACAAATGTCTTCACTCACACTCTATTTGGCCTCACCCTTTCCCTCTCAATCCTTCCCAAAATACACACTCTCTCCCCAACACCGAGTCCTTCTTTTTAAAACAGTCAAAGGTACTGCCATGGACACTATAATACTGAGGTTCCAGGGTACTCTTGGTTTAGGGCGGCTGGAATTTGTTTGCTTTTCAAATAAGAGAGATAGGCTTATTTGGAAAAATGACCTACATCTTTTTACTATAAAAGCTCTGAATTTTTTAAATAAAAATTATTTCAGCAAATGTTTTTCATTTCTTTCTATAAAAAGAATCTTTTTTTAATCTTTATAAGATTAAAAGAATTACGTGAACTATGACTTCTGCTGAGATGAGAATGCAAAGTGGGCCACTCGATTTTAACAGAGAATAACATGGAAAAGGTAAGAGAGGCACCAAACATAGAAGCATCAGTTCAAATTCCTAAGGAGATGACACTGAAGACCTGCTGGACAAAGGAGAATGACCAAGTGGGGAAGGATTGTAGTAAGAAAAGTGGAAGTTGGTTGGGAGCAGTGCCTCACACCTGCAATCCCAGCACTTTGGAAGGCCGAGGCAGGGTGGATCGCTTGAGCCCGGGAGTTCAAGGCCAGCCTGGGCAACATGGTGAAACCCGTCTCTACTAAAAACACACAAAAAGTTAGCTGGAGTGGTGGTACACACCTGTGGTCCCAGCCACTCAGTAGGGCTGAAGCAGGACTGCGGCAGGAGGACTGCTTGAGCCCAGGAAGTCAAGCCTGCAGTGAGCTAAGATCACACCACTGTACTCCAGCCTGGGCAACAAAGCAAGACCCTGTCTCAAAAAAAAGTTAGGCCTAAGTCCCAGGATGGAGGAGTTTCCCAGGACGTTGGGGAAAACTAGAGAAAGTTATGGGCAAACCAGGAAGATTGGTCTTCTAGGGCTGACTTGTCTTAGGTATAAGTCTAAATGTGTTGGTCACCATTTTTATTATGTAATTCCATATATTCAGGTAATTGTGGGAGGGTATACCACCTCAAATAGTAATAATGAAATTAACAGTAGACCTGCTACCACAATGCAAACCTAGTATGTTCTAAACACTATTAAATGCTTTAACATACAGTATCATCTAATTTTCACAACCCTGGAGTGGATCTCCTTTCACAGAAGAAGATACAAACTTGCTTTGAGGTTACACAGATAGTAACAGAACTGAGGCCCAAACCCAGCTTTGTCTGACTCAAGAGCTCTCATTCCTTCCACTATACCAGGCCACCTTTTCTGTGCTAATTCACCTCTGGCTGCCTCCAAGCCCCCATGCCTGCTGGAAAAAGACCCCTGAATGCTTCCTTTTTCTATCCAAGTCAAAAGGTCATGCTCACTGCTCTTGGGTTCTTCAACAATGACCTGGAGTAACCCTCTCACATCTGGAAACCCAGAGTTGTTTCTTGAAGACAACTCTGCAAAGATGAATGGATCCCACCAAGGCATCTCTAGCAGAAGCCAGGACATTTCCCTGGATTGCTCACAGCTTGGCATTTGGATCCCTTGGGTTCTGAGTTTAAGCTCCTTTTCCATATCTCTCTCCTGTTCTCCAAGATGCATCTTATCTTCCACTCTAGCCAAGTGCCTCTTCACTGATCCCCAGACATCTTGTGGCTTGCCTGCCTACACCACTGCTTGGACTACTCCATCTTGTCCAGGATTCCCATTTCCATCTTTACTGTTGAACTCTCACCCTTTCTTATTAAAGTAGAATGGAACTATGTCCTCCCCAACTGGTCCCCAACCTTAGCCCTGGGGTGGTACTCACATGACAGAACACTGGGCAAAGGACAGGTAATCCACCAGCACATCCAGGCCTTTGTTTTCATCGTTCAGAAACTCCCGCACCCACCTGAAGATAAAGGAAACACAGTGAAAGGGGTCTGCTAAAGTGGGTCAAGGATGACACACCTCTGACCCAACACCTCTTCTTCCTGGTGTTGAAGATTCTGAAGATCAAAACCAGGCTAGGAAGATTCTGAAGATCAAAACCCATGGCAGACCCATCCATGGTCAGGGACCTCCCCTAGGCAGGGGAGCCAGGGATGGGAAAAGTACAGGCCCTTCTAGTACCACTTGCTTTATCATGAAGATGCTTTAGACAAACAAGCTCCCAGGTACTCCCTTCTTAAGGGCCCTCCTTAAGGGCTCAATCATTTTCTGCATCCCTCCTTTACTGAGTAAAGGCATGCCTTACTCAGCGTTTGTTGGAAGAATTGAGGAAGTATCAAGAGAGTTTACTACAGGACTGTGTGCAGAGCTGCGCTTGACCAAAGCCAGCAAGTCTCTAACTTGACTGAAGTCTCAGTCAAGACACCAGCAGGAAGGGTCAAGGAGAGCTCTGGAACTGAGGCATCCTGGGGCAAAGCACTCACTATCAAGTTTAAGGAGAGCAGTTTTGGAAAGCAGTGAGCAAACAGAGATGTATAGGAGTTCTGTATTTAGTCACGTCGAACCACAGAAGGCTTGGGGGATGATCAGGAACTCAAGGAACTCCAGGATGTCTATGACCACTCAGAGTCAACCAGAGGACTTGGGCCCCCCTCAGCCAGGAAGGTAGATAACAAAGCACCTAGGGACCATATCCCAGAGCATTTTTTTCCCTTCTGCTTTCAGTCCTTTTGGGCTGAGATATTCCTGGAATTAAAGTCAAGGGCAAATCTAGGGAACTAGATTTGTTATATGACAGGTTTGTCACATATATGTTTGTTATATGACAGGTTTATTCCATAGCACAGAGACATAAAACACTCAGGATGAAACCCTAATCTAGAGTGTTCTACTCCTTCAGAATTTCTGGTGGTCTTTATAGGAAGGCTCTGTCCAAACTGCCCTGCAGGGCCTCTTCTCCCCAACAGCTGGAAAACCGGCGCCATTTGGCCAGCCACACCCCAAGCTACGAAGAGACTCTGAAGCTACAGCACCAGACCCAGCTGAGATTTGGCAGCAGGCTCTGGCTGAAGCTAACTGACACCGGAGCTGCCTGAAGTTAGCTTCCTCTCTGGGGGCCAACAGGCCTCCCATTTCCTGTCTGTCTGCTCTCCAGCTCCCCACCCCCTTCTCATTTCCTGTCTGAGTCTATACTGCTATTTCGGGATCTTGACACTTTGAGGAGAGGTTAAAGGGCGCTTAGGCAAGGCAGAGAAACCAATACAAACCAGGGAGAGAGGAGGAGCTGGAGAGGCTCTGGAATCCCACTTCCCAGGCTGCCCCTCTTCAGAGCCTGAGTTCCCAACTACTGCTACTGCATACCCAACTTCTGTAAGCCCTGGGGCTGATCGGGCTGTGACCAAAGCAGGATCCTCATCTCCCCACCTTGCCCTGGCTTCCTACCACCCTGAAGCACCCCCACGCCAGCCTGACAATCTGACAAACTCTTCATGCCCAGAAATCCAGGAAAGATCCTTGTCCTTCCACATAACTCTACCCAGAGAAGCCGCAGTTCAGATGGCAGGCATGCCTAAAATGCCAGGCACTGAGCTATTCCCTGGGAACAAAGGACCAGGTCTAGGACCTCTAACTTGTGTGCCAACTGCCAAGAGGCCCCAGGCCTGGGAACCACGCTGCTCTGGACCTAGCTCCTGGCCAGCAGCCAGCGGGGCAGGCACCAGGTAGAGGGGGCAGGCAGAAGGGACTGTAATAAACTGCTCTGTGGCCTTCTCCCAAGAAAAGCACACCCAGATCCTCATATAACTTCAGCAAGACTTAAGAAAATAGGGCTGGGTACCAGTGACTCCACTTTGGAATATCAAGGCAGGAGGATTCTAGTTCAAGACCAGCCTAGGAAGCAAGGCTAGACCCTGTCTCTACTAAAATAATTTTTTTAAATGGCCAGGCAGGCCGGACACAGTGTCTCACGTCTACAATCTCAGCACTTTGGGAGGCCAAGACAGACAGATCACTTGAGCCAGCCCATGAGTTCGAGACCAGCCTGGACAACATGGCAAAACTCCATCCCTACTAAAAACACAAAAATTAGCTGGGCATGGTGGCACACGCCTGTAGTCCCAGCTATTCAAGAGGCAGAGGCAGGATGGTTTGAACCTGGGAGGCGGAGGTTGCACTGGGCCAAAATTGCGCCTGGGCGACAGAGCTAGACTCCGTCTCAAAACAAAATAAAATGAAATGGCCAGGCATGGGCGTGCGACTGTGCTCTCAGCTACTTGGAAGGCTGGGATAGGAGGATCACTTAAGTCCTGGAAATTGACGCTGCAGTAAGTCATGATCACGCCACTGCACTTCATCCTGGGCAACACAGCAAGACCCTGTCTTAAAAAACAAACAAACAAACAGAAGATATAACAGCTGAGAGGGACAGAAGGGACCTATGGAAGAATGCAGAGTGGTAGGAGGCTCAGGGTGGCAGGTAGTGCTCAGGGTTGCCATCGGTGTCATTCTTGTCCTTACACAAAGGGGTACTAAGCAGCCCCTACCACTTTGTCCTTCCATGAAGGATTCACCAAACAAAGGAGGAGGCTTGGCCATACCTTTCTCAGTGGCTTGGCTTTCAATGTCTGGTTCACAAATGAAGTAGAGAAGCCATATGCTGGCCAACAGAGCATAGTTACTGAGGCCAAGAACCATCCCTTTCCTGTTCTCTCCTGTGCTATTTCCCTTGTGACTGCTGCTGCTGCTGGCTATACACAGGTGTCCCCTCCCTCTAAAGAACCCCAGGAAGGCTCGACCTAGGGGTGGATGAGTAGTCCGCTGCTATGACAGGAGGGGAAAGGCTGATGATGTCATTTGGCTCTCTCTACCCCATTGTCAGAAAGCCTGGGCACCCCACCCCCACCTAGGCCTCTACTGCTCACTCACAGGCACTGGACATTTGTGCCAGGCCCTCTCCAACAGGTCTTTATCCTTGCCTGCAGTTCTACATTATGTGTCCCTCACTGTCCTTTTCTCATTGTCCTTTTGCATGAGCACACATACGCACACATATAAACACCTTCTGTCTCTCACTTACGTATACCTTTGCTGATTACAGTTTCCTAACACTGAGGCCAATACCCCCTTTCACTGTACCTCACACATTAGCCCTTTGCTTGTTCAGCAATTCCTGGTTTCCCACACAGGGACTGGAAAAAAAAGACTCACACAGTTCCTAGGGGCCCTATCAATGGGTTGGCAGCACCAGGATCTGTGAATATAGAAAACATGCAGCTCCTGGCCCCCACTGCCTTATATCTTTCCTGGTGCTTAAGGAAACTTCTTCTGCTCATGAACTAAGATTGTCTTCTCCCAAACAAGCAAATAATCTTCCAGGCACCAAAAAGTCCAAATAGTTACCGAATGGGAACTAGGTCTCAGCTACCCAATACGCTATGTTCCCCCAACCCTCAGCCTTCTCTGGGCCTGCCTTGGCCCAGCACCAGGCCACAGGCAGACTCCAGTCTCAGCTGCTGTGGGAATGTCTTCCACTCAAAGCCACAGGCGGACGACCCCAGGAGAGGCCCCAAGCTTGTCAGAAACATCTAGTCAGCAGCTGGCAAAGCTGAGGGGATGGAAAAGCTAGAAAAGAAACAGTCCAAAGCTCTGGGGAGCTAGAAGCCATTCAAGAGGCAACTCTGCCCCATGGCAGGGAAGACGAACAGGCACACCATCCTCAGAGGACACCAGATTCTGGGTGCCCAGCCAACAGCCTGGGGCCAGGTGAAGAGGCTGTTGCAGCCAATCCAACTCACCCAATGTGGTTGGTGCGAAGAGAGATCTCCAGCTCCCTTAGTACTTTGGTTGACTCCTGAACCCTCCTCCTGAACTTCTGTAAAAAGGGAAGAAAAGGAGAGGAATACAAGAGGGCAGTTATAGACCTTCCCTCCATTACTGACCAGCCACTCCAGGCCCCTGGCTACAGAATCCTGAAATCCAACTCCCATTGCTAAGAAACAAACGGATGTCCAATATCCAAGTCAAAGGGTTTGTCCCCAAACCCCACAAGACTATTAAGGGCAGCAAGATGGGGCCTCTCTGCCTCATACTTCACCTTCCGAGTTACACTGGGGTCCAAGAAGCTCTGGAGTTTCTGAATGTAAGTATGGGGAGGATTCTTCACCTGGAATCGTTCCTGTAAGGGAAACATGCATATGCATATACACAAAGACAACCAGAGACCTGAGGAAGACACTGAGGAAGCAGAGCACTCATAGTGTTCGGTGTGAGGGGACTCAGCCTCTCAAAGCTATCACCTGGCTCTAGACATCATCCAAACTTGAGGTTTCCTTCCTTGACTTATAATCCCCAGGTGTTCCCATCTGTTACCAGCTCTTCCTCCTGTAATTAGAGCACCCTGAGCTTAACATGTTTTCCTATGTAAAAAAGTATTTTAAAAGTGTGCTGCTTGCTACAAAGATGTTGGGGATTACAGAGTTGTGAACAGCACCCAAAACAAAATATACTTGATTGGGCTTGGGAAGCCATGGCTTGAGGACTGCTTGAGGCCAGAAGTTTGAGAACAGTCTGGATAACACAGCAAGACTGCCTCTACAGAAAAAAATTTTTTTTTAATTAGCCAGGCATGGTGGCTTCCACATGCCCGTAGCCCAGGCTACTTAGGCTGAGGTGGGAGAATCCCTTGAGCCCAGGAGTTTGAGGGTGCAGCAAAATATGATCATACCACTGCACTCCAGCCTCGGCAACAGAGCGTGAACCCTCTCTAAGAAAAAAAAAAAGATATGATTGGGAAATACTGTACACTGCCTGGCCAACTAATAGATATGGGTTAGGAAGGCCAAGGGGAGAGGAGCTTGGCCTTGTAGAATCCACCTTTCTTAGCAGTGAACTCTGCAGTTGGGACTAGATTGGTTTTGCTGAGCTGACACAGCTCAGGGCTGCAAACACTGCTTCTTGCCCAGACCCCAACAATCCAAAGCAACGTCAAATACTGAAGGCTACTTTCAGCAAGGTCATCCCTTGATTCGCTCTACAAAGGGCATGGGAGCACGCCCTACTTTAGCCCAACCTCTTCATCTGACCCAAAAGGAAACTGAGTACCCCTTAGCATTCTGGTCCTATTAGGGCTGCCACCACCAAGACATCTGAAGAGCTGGTGGGTGGAGGGGTTGAAAAATGTCCAACAGAATGATATAATGTTAGAGAATAGGATCTAAAAACAAATGAAAGGAAAAAAACGAAAGGTTTGAGAAACAGGTGAAATTATCTGACCTAGAAAATACTGAGAGATCATCAATAAAGAACCTCAATACCAAAGGTTTACTATTCTCAAAACCCCTAGCAGGTGCTAACCAACTCCTCTTAATGCAGAACACAAGGAAATGGACCTTTGGTGGAGAAGGGACTTGGACTAGGATCTCTGAAGCATAATCCTAGCTTATGTCAAGCAGCATGACCTGGGGAGGCAATGGAACAGAACAGTTGGCACGGACTTGGCACCTGCTTGCCTGAGCTCAACTTTGGCTTCATCACCTTCTAGCATTAGGCCAGTTACTGAGCCTTGGGTTCTTCATCTATAAAATGCAACACTGCCTTCCACAGAGGGTTTTGTGATGATTAAATGAGCTATTTCAGTATGTGAAGAGTACTTGGTCCATAACAAGAACAAGCACTCAATAAGCATTAGCTATTATGATTTCACTCAGAGCCTGAAAAGAAATAATAAAATTGTAATATAGCAAAGTGCTGGGTGAAGACACTACTCACACTCTGCCAGATACTTCCATCTCCACCAAGATGTAAAAAAGTAAAAGCCAATTTTCCCAGCCCTGCATACAGGCCTGGTCTGAGTTCATAGACTCATGACTCATGATCTTCAACTGCATGCAAGGGAAAGAGCCAGGTCATATGTATCAGAAGATTCTCAACTCTGAGCAAAGTAAAGATTTTTATTTTCTTCCAGCTCTAAATACTGTTCATGCAGGGAGAGTTTCCAGACCTTGACTCTTCTGAGATTTGGGAAGAGACGACTAGAGCCCGGGGCTTCTCATTCCTAGAGGCCCTGAGATAATGACAAAAACCCTATTTGCCAGGGCTAAGACAGTGTGAGATCAACAGTCCTTTGAGTACCCTTCCAGGCATAGCCTTGAACCTACACGGCCAATCCTATACCCTAGATCTACACAAACCACCTTTGTACTATTGCCCATTGGAATAAATCAAGACAGCTCTTTGTGGGAGACAGAGGGGAGCTTGGCCTGCCGGCCCTGTCTCTATTATGAGAATCCTCTTGGAAAAGAAAGTAAACACAGATGAGGCCAAGCTTAGGCCAGGGTTTCTCAAGGAAGCCAAAGCTGCAGTCAATGTCTTTGGCCCCACAGCCTTAGCCAGCCCAAGACATAACTTCCCACCTCCCTCCTCTTTCCCAAACCCCATACCTGGTCACAGATCAGATCCCACTTCTTCTCATTGTCATACTGCCGCAGGAGCCGGGCCTTGTCTGGAGGCAGATTCATGGAGCTCTAAGGAGAGAACCTGAGTCAACCATGCTGAAACCTCCCCTCATCTGGAAAAGAGAAAGACTAGACTGCCCACACCTTTCCCCTCCTGGGCCCTCAGACTTCACCCTGACACTCTATCGCTGATAAGGCAGGCTTGGAAAGGTGGAACAGTCCTCCAGCCTTCCCTTCCTATTTAGTTGAGTTTGGTTGAGCCATGTTTTCCAAACCACTGGTAATGGGATCAATTCAAATCATTGAATCAAGTCAAAATTAACTTTATTTCAAATGAAAATAAGCAGATTAAAACAGAATAGAAGATACCAGAATTGCAATTACGAAGTATAAATAATGCTTTGTGAAGCTTTAGTTTCTATTTTATGTACATACACAAATATGTCATATACGTACATCATGCCATAAAATGTGATGGGAACATGAGACAGGTCAAAAAATTTGAAAAGCCACCAGGTTAAAACAGCAACTTTTTTTCAATTTGCTTTTCCCCCATAACCTAAGAGATGGGCAACCTGCCTACACCATGCACTCCCATGGGTGAATCCTGAGCCACCCACAACCTATGTAGATGCTGTAACTCTGACCCTTTTGCCCATCAGGATACAAGTGAATAAGAAGAACATTAGCATGAAGATAACCACTTAAATTTTTTTAAGAAAAATTTTTTTTGGAAAAAATTCACAAAAGTACAGGACTTTAATTGTTAGTAGCAAATTACTTATGACACATTTCCCAATTAATTAAGACACAGCAAAGCATCCTAACCCCTCGGCAAGCCACTCTAATATAGGCTATTTGAAGCACAGCCCAGGAATCATTTTATTTTGTTCACCACTGTTTGGTGACTGAATAAGATATGAGACAGTGAGTGAGTGAAGCCTAAGGCATCCATGGACTAGCCCTACCCATGACAGGAGGCTATGTTCCCTACCTTTATCCCTATCCAGCTAAACCTTTCTTCTCATCAGTCTGGCTGTTTTGTTCCAGGTCACGGCCCTGACCTCTAAAGGCAGTCTGGGCCAGACACAGTAGTTCATACCTGTAATCCCAGTACTTTGGGAGGCCGAGGCGGGCAGATCGCTTGAGGCCAAGAGTTTGAGACCAACCTGGCCAACATAGCAAAAGCCCATCTCTACTAAAAACAGAAAAATTAGCTGGGCGCAGTAGCGCACACATATAATCCCAGCTACTTAGGATGCCAAGGCACAAGAATTGCTTGAACCTGGGAGGCAGGGATTGCAGTGAGCCAAAATCATGCCACTGCTCTCCAGCCTGGGAAACAGGAAAAGACTCCATCTCCAAAAAACAAAACAGAACAAAATGACAAAAAAGAATAGGCCAGCCGCAGTGGCTCATGCCTGTAATCCCAGCACTTTGGGAGGCCAAAGCAGGCAGATCACAAGGTCAAGAGATTGAGACCATCCTGGCCAACATGATGAAACCCTATGTCTCTACTAAAAATACAAAAGTTAATTGTGGCACATGCCTGTAGTCCCAGCTACTCAGGAGGCTGAGGCAGGAAAATTGCTTGAACTTGGGAGGCAGAGGTTGCAGTGAGCCGTAATAGCACCACTGCACTCCAGCCTGGCGATAGAACAAGACTCCATCTCAAATAAATAAATAAAATAAAGGCAGTCTGACACTTTAATTGGACCACTGTATCTGCTCCTTCATACTCTTGAATCAAATATGATTCCCCACCCATGTGATTTCCCCCAGATTTAGCTTCTTCCCCAGCATACTGTCAGCCACCTGGAAGGCTGCCTCTCATCTTTCTCTACTTTAGCTACTGTTCAAGATCAGCTCTAACTCCCTGGTAACTCAAGCATGATCACCTCATTTACCTCTGCCCAATCCTTAGCATCCTCATCCCTGGGGACACAAACTGTGCGCATCCAGGGTCCTCAAGGAGTCATATACGCCCTGCATTATTCCAAAAGAAGCAAACAAATCCTAGAAGGAGGTCCTCCAACTTTCGATGGAACCAAAAGAAAATCCTTAAACATTTACTCTATCATATTATCTATTTATTATATATATGTGTGTGTGTGTGTGTGTGTGTGTATATAACTCAGATATACTCTTAAACCAGCTGTGTACTCATCTAGACCCTGAAGTTCTGTGTCTATTCTTACCATCCCAGCTCCCAACATGCATCTAGTGGGGGCAGTGAGGTGATAATAAGAGGTCCCAGATCTGAGCCCAGTTACTGGCTGGAAATGTGGTCACATGGCTCAAAAAGGAAGTAGGGTTGAAGTCTTCGTTGGAATTTACACATGGAAGAATTTAGGACCATAGAAGTGGGGCAGGTGAGAGAAACAAGGGGAAGAGAATCCCATATCACACCTCTCCCCATGGTTCCTGCTGTCCCATGTATCTGCCTGAACTTCCACAGGAAAGTGAGGCTGAGTCCTCCTCACAGTCTATGTAGTATGGATGGCCAGATGGTCAAACACAAGCCTGGAATGTTCTCTCTGAAACTACTTTGTTAAGGGCCAATCTCAGCCTGTGTGGACAGCATGACAAGAGCAGGAGGACTCAACAAAACAAGGACCCAAAGGTCAACCTAGAGCAGGTCTCCTAACTCAGCCTAACTGGGGCCAGGCTGCTGCCAGCTGAACTCGACTGAACTGAACAGCAGCAGTATTCAGGACTGGTCCTGGCTCTGTGAATATCCTAAATACATCACTGCCATCTGATCATTTCTCCCAAGTCTGTGCCATGAAAATAGTTTTCTATTGTCTCCCCTGGAAGAAGGCTGCTGGAAGAGGGGCGGGAGCAGCCTGTCACTGCTGTGGCAGACACTGCATTCTGTCTATGCCAACCTCCTCCCTCAGCCACCCAGTGTCAGCTACTTCTCCACCAGGTGAACTGGTGAGGAGATGCTTGGTCCCCTCAGTCTGAAAAACTGGGCAAAGTCACCCCCTTGGGGAGTCCCAGTCTAAGAGCATGGAGAGGCACAGCAGGGACCTGGTCAAACTCTAGATCCCCAGGAAGGAGGGACTCCAAAGTATGGAGACAGGTGGTAGAAGCATGAAGTAGCTCTGACCATAGCCATATCCTCCTGTCTAGAGCTTTGGGTGGCACTTTCTTGACAGTGGCCCCAGACTTCTCTGCTTCTTCTGCACTGAAGCATAATGGGGAAGGAAATGGGGAAGGGGAATTCCACCAAGCCCCAGCATTCTCATAAGAAATGGGTCACTGGCTACCAGTGGGAACCACCTGCCAAAGGGGTATAGACCACAGCCTGGCCCGGACAGTTCTGTTCTCTCTAGACAAGGGCATCAGGGCTTTTGCTTCCACCTGATAATGTGTGTGACTCTGGCAAGGCTCCAATGTCCTGAGGAAGCCACCCTGTCCTTAGAAATGACAACTTCCTGAGTTCCGGGGACAGCAAAAAAGCAAACTTGACACAGTTCCGGTCTCACTCAAAGATTTGTTTCCTTGACATTTTTCTTCAGTGGTTCCACAGAGACTGCAGGCTCCCAGAAGGCAGAAGCTGATATAAGTTCTTGCTAACTCCTCGTTGAGACCCTTGCTGAGCAGAAAGGAAGCAGTGGCTGTCTTGGAAAGGAGAGGGCACTAAATGTGGGTGAAATCAGAGGGCCCAAGATCAACTTTGGGCACTTCAAAGTTATTGAGCCTTGGTGAACGAATCCATAAACTGGAGATAATCTCACTACTTTATAGAGTTTAACTGAGGATTAAATGACAAATATTTTATGTCTCTAAGTGTCTGGAACACTGTGGATGTTCAACACAGTCCCCCTCTTCTTCCTCCTAAAAATCTTGTGTAATGTTCTGATGTCCAAGTGACCTGTTCTCTTGCTTCTAGGCTCTCTCTCTGCCTCCATCCCACCTTCAGCAACTGCTTCTCAACACCGACTACAGAGCAATCCTTTATCCTTTCACTGATGCTGCTCCGGCTTCCTCTAAGACTAGGCAGCAATTTAAGTATCACTATCCTGAGGGGTAGGGGACATGGCAGGAGACTCCAAGGAAGGAGTAAGGGAGGTAAGTCACAGCCAAAACAGTCACAATAGGAGATGTAAGGAAAAGGGGACGATGAACTCAAACTGAAAGCAACTCTGGAACTGATTCCTAAATCGCTGGGAACCAGCAAAAAGTCTAATAATAAAGACCTATAACGGGAAGAAGCTGAAAGGCGTGGAGCTGGTGCTTCTTCAGCAAGGCTGCTCTGGTTTTACTGCCAGTTCGAGGCCAGGCAAATCTCCCTGCTCACTGGGGTCCATGTGAGCAAGGGTCCAATACCCCCAGGAAGGTTTCCTAACTCTCCACCTGACCTCTGACAGCCTCACTCAGGCCAAGGAGGAGAGAGGCAGCTCTGGTAGCAGAAGTTCCCTTCCCTTTCCTGCTCTGCAACCCCAGCCCAGTGAGCCCCTCCTCATTTCCTTCCCACTGCAGGGGAAGGGAAATGCCGGTGGGGTTTGGAGTTTCCTCCAAAGCTGTGAGCTCTGCTCTGGGACTCGCCCCTACTCTGACAGTCTTCTTGAGCCAGGCCTGGGGAAAACCCAACAAATAGAGAAGAACCACCAAAAATTCCCAGTTGTTTTTGTTGGTCGTAGCCAATCATGATAAATCTTAGGGACAGAGACAAAAATGGCACAGCTTCTTTGAGAGACTGGGAGAGGAACATTTGTAACGTTCCTGGGAAAAAAACTGTAGAAGCTTTAGGGAAGCTCCAGCAGGGGCTGTTTGTTTTGAGCAAATACAGAAAGTGAGAGGTAGTTTTATTAATGTTTTCCCTCTTGAACCACCTCCCACCAGGTTTCCTATGGCTGTCTTCTCCCAAGTGTGGCAGCCCCAGCCCCCATGCTCAGCCCATGGGGATGGGGAGTCCTGAGAAACTGAATCTAGAACTGCCCCACAGATGAAATGAGTGGTGTCCTGGGCACCACATGCTTCTCAACATGCTGCTGAGCCCCTGGCCACAGCTCCAAGTCCTCCCTTGCATCCACAGATCAGCCCTTTGAGCAGATATGGAA